ACTGGCAAAGTGTTGTGGAAGGCTTTTATGGCTGGAATCACTGGATTGCTGTGCGTTTTCCATGTTCCAGAAGTATTATCTCCTGACGTTTCACCCACATCTATGGCAGACATCCTCAGATGTTGAGGGTTCTGTTGGAAACTAGGTAAGCGAAGTGGGACAGCTTGAGGCAAGGATTAATGTTGCAGTTGGCCACTTTGATTAGCATTTAATAGCCTGAAGTTTCAAGGCCTGGCTGGTTGCTGCCTGGAGGAATCCTTTGTTGGGAGGTGTTAGCTGACCCTGATTGATTCTTGTCTGGAATTCCTTTGCTTTTTCGGTTTTGCTCATTATTTACTGTCCTGATTTTAGAGTTTTTTAAAATAGTGGTAGCCACATTTTGTTCATTTTCATGGTTTCCTCTTTTCTGTTGAAATTGTCCACATGCTTGAGGATTTCAATGGCTTCTCTGTGTAGCCTGACATGGTGGTTGTTAGAGTGGTCCAGCATTTCTGTATTCTCAAATAATATGCTGTGCCCAGGTTGGTTCATCAGGTTCTTGCTATGGCTGACTTCCCAACAAAGGATTCTCCCAGGCAGCAACCTGCCAGGCTTTGAAGATGCTAATGCTAATCAAGGTGGCCAGTTGCAACATTCACACTTGTCTCAAGCAGACCAGAGTTCTTTCTCCCACTCTGGGCATTCTATAGATATACAAACTCCACTTGCCTAGTTTCCAACAAGCCTCACAATCTCTGAGGATGCCTGCCATAGATGTGGGTGAAATGTCAGGAGGGAATGCTTATGGAACATGGCCATACAGCCCAGAAAACTCACAGCAACCCAGAACTCTTGTCTGTTTGAGGCAAGTCTAAACATTGCAATTGATCACATTGATTTGCACTGAATAGCCTGACAGCTTCAAAGCCTGACTTCTTCCTGCCTGGGGGAATTTATTGATTTTTGAACATTTGTATCCAGTCCTTCTCACCCCCGAGGAGGGACTCAACAAGTACTCATTTGAGTGCTAACCACAATAATAAATTTCATTAAAATTTGTGTCCGTATCTCCTACAACAAACCTGCATGATCTCTTCAATCCTCTGAGGAGGCCTTTCTCTTGCCCTTTCCTCTATCACAAGCTCGACTTGTGGGAACGAGGGAGAGGGCCTTCTCTGCTGTGGCCCCCCACTTTTGGAACTCGCTACCTAGGGAGATTAGGCAAGCCCCCACCCTAGCTGCTTTTAAGAAAGATCTAAAAACCTGGTTCTTCCGATGTGCCTTTGGAGAGTGACCACTCAATCCCATCTGGTTATTTTGACCTGTAGCTGCTCTCAGAATAAAGCACCTTCCCTTGGCCCCTACAAAGGCCAAATCCCACTACTTCCCCCTGTTGGACTCCTCTCTTACAAATGCACTTTTATCCCTTTCTTACCCAGGTTTTAACCTGTTAATATTTTGTTGTTGTTGTTCATTCGTTCAGTCGTCTCCGACTCTTCGTGACCTCATGGACCAGCCACGCCAGAGCTCCCTGTCGGCCGTTACCACCCCCAGCTCCTTCAAGGTCAGTCCAGTCACTTCAAGGATGCCATCCATCCATCTTGCCCTTGGTCGGACCCTCTTCCTTTTGCCTTCCACTTTCCCCAGCATAATTGTCTTCTCTAGGCTTTCCTGTCTCCTCATGATGTGGCCAAAGTACTTCAACTTTGTCTCTAGTATCCTTCCCTCCAATGAGCAGTCGGGCTTTATTTCCTGGAGAATGGACTGGTTGGATCTTCTCGCAGTCCAAGGCACTCTCAGAACTTTCCTCCAACACCACAGCTCAAAAGCATCGATCTTCCTTCGCTCAGCCTTCCCTAAGGTCCAGCTCTCACATCCGTAGGTTACTACATGGAATACCATGGCTTTGACTAGGCGGATCTTTGTTGCCAGTCTGATGTCTCTACTCTTTACTATTTTATCGAGACTGGACATTGCTCTCCTCCCAAGAAGTAAGCGTCTTCTGATTTCCTGGCCACAGTCTGCATCTGCAGTAATCTTTGCACCTAGAAATACAAAGTCTGTCACGGCCTCCACGGTTTCTCCCTCTATTTTCCAGTTGTCAATCATTCTTGTTGCCATAATCTTGGTTTTTTTGACGTTTAGCTGCAACCCGGCTTTTGCGCTTTCTTCTTTCACCTTGATTAGAAGGCTCCTCATCTCCTCCTCGCTTTCGGCCATCAGAGTGGTGTCATCTGCATATCTGAGGTTGTTAATGTTTCTTTCAGCAATTTTCACCCCAGCTTTGCATTCATCCAGCCCCGCACATCGCATGATGTGTTCTGCATACAAGTTAAAAAGGTTGGGTGAGAGGATGCAGCCTTGCCGTACGCCTTTCCCAATCTTGAACCAGTCTCCTGTTCCGTGGTCAGTTCTGACTGTTGCTACTTGGTCCTTGTACAGATTCCTCAGGAGAGAGACAAGGTGGCTTGGGATGCCCATCCCACTAAGAACTTGCCACAATTTATTATGATCCACACAGTCAAAGGCTTTAGAATAGTCAATGAAGCAGAAGTAGATGTTTTTCTGAAACTCCCTGCCTTTCTCCATTATCCAGCGGATATTGGCAATTTGGTCTCTCGTTCCTCTACCTTTTCTAAACCCATCTTGAACATCTGGCAACTCTCGCTCCATGTATTGCTGGAGTCTTCCTTGCAGGATCTTGAGCATTACCTTACTGGCATGTGAAATATTTTACCTCATACATTAATATTTTACCTCATACATTTGGCCCTCCCTTTGTGTCTGATTTTATTATGCTGTTTTATAATATTGATTTTATTTGTTATTTCATATTTTGCTGATGTATTCTTGTTATTGTGTAATCAATTATGTTGTGTTATTTTGGGCTTAGCCTCATGTTAGCCGCCCCGAGTCCCCACTGGGGAGATGGTGGCAGGTTATAAAGTTTATTATTTATTTATTTATTTATTATTATTAAAACAATCATTAAAAATCCTTTGTTGGGAGGTGATTAGCTGGCCCTGATTGTTTCTTGTCTGGAATTCCCGTTTTTTGAGTGTGGTTTGCTGTCCTGATTTTAAAGTTTTTTGTTTTTTTTAACCTGGTAGCCAGATAAGAAACAATTAGGGCCAGCTTAGCGGCTGAGGGGAAAAGGAAAGGGCCTGAAGCTGGGTTGTTGTAGGTTTTTCGGGCTGTATGGCCATGTTCTAGAAGCATTCTCTCCTGATGTTTCACCTGCATCTATGGCAGGCATCCTCATTATTATTATTATTATTAGGGGTTTTGGGGGGGTTGTTGTAGGTTTTTCGGGTTGTATGGCCATGTTCTGGAAGCATTCTCTCCTGACATTTCCCCTGCATCTATGACCAACATCCTCAGAGAATGTGAGGTCTGTTGGAACTAGGAAAATGGAGTTTATATATCTATGGAATGTCCAGAATGGGAGAAAGAACTCTTGCCTGTTGGAGCTAGGTGTAAATGTTGCAATTGTTTACCTTGATTAGCATTGAATAGCCTTGCAGCTTCAAAACTTGGCTGCTTCCTACCTGGGGGAAGACAAGAGTTCATTCTCCCACCCTGGACCTTGCACAGCCTGAAAGGGGATCTACCTGTGGGCGGCTCCTTCCTTCCCTGTCTTTCGGTGGCAGGCAGGCCACCGGGCTCTGTCTCCTGGTGGCCCCTCAGTAAGCTAGAGAACAGGCATGGGCAAACTTGGGTGTTTTGGACTTCAACTCCTACCATTCCTAACAGCCTCAGGCCCCTTCCTTTCCCCAATTCTCCTAGTTCCAACAGACCTCACAACCTTTGAGGATGCTTGCCATAGATGCAGGCGAAACGTCAGGAGGGAATGCTTCTAGAACATGGCCATACAGCCCGAAAAACCTACAACAACCCAGTGTTTCCAGCCATGAAAGGCTTCGACAATGTATGGCCAGGTTCTTGTGGGTTTTTTTGGGCTATAGGGCCATGTTCTAGAGGCATTTCTCCTGACGTTTCACCTGCATCTATGGCAAGCATCCTCAGAGGTAGTGAGGTCTGTTGGAATTAGGACAATGGGTTTATATATCTGTGGAATGGCTGTGGTGGGGAAAAGAGTTCTTCCATGCTGGAGCTAGGTGTGAATGTTTCAACTGACCACCTTCATTAGCATTTGAAGGCCTGGCTGAGCCTGGGAAAATCTTTTGTTGAGAGGTGTTAAGATGTGCCTGGTTGTTTCCTCTCTGCTGTTTTGCTGTTGTAATTTTAGAGTTTTTTAATACTGGTAGCCAGATTTTGTTCATTTTCATGGTCTCTTCCTTTCTGTTGAAATTGTCCACATACTTGTGGATTTCAATGTATGGCCATGTTCTAGAAGCATTCTCTCCTGACGTTTCGCCTGCATCTGTGGCAAGCATCCTCAGAGACTGCGAGGCCTGAGGCTGTTAGGAATGGTGGGAGTTGAAGTCCAAAACACCTGGAGGGCCCAAGTTAGCCTGGTATAGAGAGATGCAGGAGTGGACCTGGACCCGGGGGAGCGGGGGATACAACAAAGGGAGGGGATCGTGGTGGAGGGGGAGAAAGGGGTGGGGAGGACGGAGCGCAAGAAACTTCTCCTTCCCCCTCCTCTTCCTCCCCCTCCCACGCGGGAAAGGGAGCCGGTGATGGAGCCGCGTGGCGGGTGCGCGAGCACGAGGGCAGGCACTCAGGGCTGGGGCAGTAGCAGCAGCAGCAGCAGCAGCAGCCCCTCCCCCTGCAGCATGCAAAGCGGAGAGAGGGCGATTGAGGAGGGCTCCCGAGGGGAGGGGAGGGGGCGGGGCAGCGGGTGGAGGGTGTCCGTGCCTCGATGCCTCCTCCTCCTCCTCCTCCTCTTGCTGGATGCCTCCTGGCTGGCTCGACTGGCCTGCGCCGGGACCTGGCTGCTGTGGCGGCGATTGGCTGGCGGGGGCGGGCCAGGCGCGCGGCGATTGGGCGGCGCGGCCGAGCGGACGGCGGTGGGGAGGCCCCTGATTGGCTGCCGACGAGGAAGCAGGAAGGGAGGACGGACCAAGAGCCGAGCAGGGGCGCGGGGCCGCCGCTTCTGCTGCTGCTGCTCCTGCTGCTCCTGCTACCGCCGCTTTCGGGGACTTGGTTGCTCCTCGTCATCGTCGGTGGGAGCTCATCGTGGGAGAGGAGAGCGCCATCCGGATCCGTCCTCCGGAGTCTAAGCCGTGCCTCTCCTCTGCTGCCGCCCCCTCCGGCCTTCGCCGCGCGGGCCCCAGAAGGGGGCGCGCCTCAGTCCCCATCCCGGTGGCGACGCGGAGGGAGGGCCGAGGAGGAGGAGAAGGAGGAGAAGGAGCAGCGGCGGCGCTGACGCAGCAGCGTGGATCCCGGGATTCGGGCGCCCCGCCGCGGCGTCCCTGCCGCCGGATTGCAGCCCGGCCGGGGCCTCCTGGCTCTGCCCTGCGTGGGGCCCGCACAGCCCCCTCTAAGGAGGAGGAGGAGAGGAGCGGGAGCAGGCACCCTCGGTAAGCAGGCGGTGGGGCTCCACCCTGGGCGTCGAGGAAGTTGCGGGAAGGAATCAAGGAAGGCAAGCGATGGGAACAGGTGCCTTCGCAGCCACTGGCCAAGGAGGATGTATACGAGTGGGTGGGTGGGTGGGTTTGCATGCGGCGGGGAGGTTCATTCACCCACCCAGCCAGCCAGCCACCCGCGCGGGGATGTCGCGCGTGAAGGAGCGGAGGGGGCGCGGCTCTCGCGGGACACCCTTCCTTCCTTCCGAGCTCCCTTCGGGTGGGTGGCCTCCTCGGGAACTTTCCACCTCGATCCGGCTGGGGCTGGTATTGGTATGGAAGAGCGAGGCGGGGATCCTGCGTGGGGGCTTCCCTCCTTCCTTGGCCGCGTGTCCCCGCCGAGGAAAGAGAAGGACCCTCCCCTCCACTCCCTTCCCTCCCCTCTCTCTCCTTCCCGGTTGCCTTTCCCTTTCCCTGGCGTCGTCTGGGGTGTCCCCCTCGTCGTAGTCGGCCATGATCCCTCTCTTTCCTCCCTTCTGCCTTTCCTTCCATCCCTTTCCCTCTCCCCCCTTTTCCCTGGGCTGAAGAAGGGCCCTCGCGTGGGGCGGCGGCGTGGGCGGCTCCTTCCTTCCCTGTCTTTCCTTGGCAGGTGGGCCACCGGGCTCTGTCTCCCGTGGCCCCTTAGAAAGCCGGAGAATCAGGTATGGGCAAACTTGGGCCTCCCCTCTAGGTGTTTTGGACTTCAACTCCCACCATTCCTTACAGCCTCAGGCCCCTTCCTTTTCCCCCTCCGCCGCTTAAGCCTGAGGCTGTTAGGAATGGTGGGAGTTGAAGTCCAAAACACCTGCAGGGCCCAAGTTTCCTCCCTGAGACTGTCCAGCTGGTGCAAAACAAGATACCGTTCCCATTGCACATGGCTCCTGTTTTGAAGGGGAAGAGCCCAGTCCCCTTCCATGTCCAGGGCCCCTCGGCCTTCCTGGGATTAGTTCTCGGTCTGGAGTTATGTAACGACTAGGAAAACCATTAACTTTGGCGGCAGCAGCTCCCAAACCCCACCTTAGAAACCCACTGGCAAAGTGTTGTGGAAGGCTTTCATGGCTGGGCTGTATGGCCATGTTCTAGAAGCATTATCTCCTGATGTTTCACCTGCATCTGTGGCAGGCATCTTCGGAGGTTGTGAGATCTGTTGGAAACTAGGAAAATTGGGTTTATATATCTGGAAAGTCCAGGGTGGGAGAAAAAAAACTCTGGCAAAGGCTTCAAGCAGAAGCCAGGAGCCCAAGAGAAGGTTGGCCTTTGCGTTTCCCTCCCAGGCTGCTTCCTTCCATCCTTCTTCCCTCCCTTCCTCCTTTCCTTCCTTTTTTCCTTGTTTCCTTCCTTCTTTCTTCCACCCTTCATTCCCTCTCTCTCTCTCTTTCTTTCATTCTTTCCTTCGATCCATATTTCCTTCTTCCTTCCTTCCTTCCTTCCTTCTTTCCTTCCATCCTTTCTTCTTGTTTTCTTTCCTTCCTTCTTTCCTTCAATCTCCCTCCCTTCTTTCCTTCCTCCCTTCTTTCCTCCCTCCCTTCTCTTTCTCTTTCTTTCATTCTTTCCTTCTGTCTTTCCTTCCTTCCTTCTTTCCTGCCATCTTTTCTTCTTGCTTTCTTTCCTTTCTTCTTCTTCTTCCCCTCCCTTCTTCCTTCCTTCCTTCCTCCCTTCCTTCTTCTTTCCTTCCTCCTCCTCCTTCCTTCCTTCTTTCTCCCTTCCTTCCTCCCTCCCTTTCCTTCTCCCTTCCTTCTTCTTTCCTTCTTTCCTTCCTTCCTTCCTTCCTCCTCCTTCTTCTTCCCTCCTTCCTCCTTCCTCCCTCCCTCCCTCCCTCCCTCCCTCCCTCCCTTCCTTCCTTCCTTCCTTCTTTGTTTCTTATCTACCTTCTTTCCTTCCATCCTTCCTCCATCCCTTCTTTCCTTCCTAAGACACCCCCTTCCCCTTTCTGGTCCCCTTCCCCACTTTGGAGTACGCTGCCTCCTCATTTTTGTACAACCCAGACACGGAGACAGATGTCCCCGGGCCCTCAAGGACAAAAGACCCCCTTCAGAAACACTTTTTGATCCCCTAGTTAGTAGTCTCTTGGAAGCAAGGAAGGGATTGTAACTAGTGCCTAGAAAAAGGAGGGGCCGAGCCTGGAAAACTTTTTCAAAAACACCATTCCTCATAGAGGTTATTCCTCTTTCCTGTGTTTTCTTGGAAAAGACCTGTTGGGAAACGAATCCTGGTGGATTGTCTGTAGAAAGAACAAGGCTTCCGGGCATCCTAATGGCTCAAGATAATTGTTGACATGACAGAAAGCCACAGAATCATGCTCGTATTTAGAAATCGTTATGAAGATTCACATAGATAGGTATGAGCAAACTTGGGCCCTCCCTCTGGGTGTTTTGAACTTCAACTCCCATCATTCCTAACAGCCTCAGGTGTCTTCCTTTCCCCCCTCCGCCGCTTAAGCGGCGGAGGGGGGAAAGGAAGACACCTGAGGCTGTTAGGAATGGTGGGAGTTGAAGTCCAAAACACCCAGAGGGAGGGCCCAAGTTTACTCTCTGAGACTGTCCAGCTGGTGCAGAAGAAAATATCGGCCCTGTTGCATATGGCTACTGTTTTGAAGGGGAAGAGTCCAGTCCCCTCCACCAGTCCCCTCCACGTCCAGGGCAAGTTTCATGAGAGGGTGCTTTGAATGAAAATCTACCTTGCTAGAAGCGCTTCCCCCCCCAAAATATCCTTTCCATCTGGGTAATAGAGGTGAGACTTCAAACACACAGGCAGCACATTTCAGAATGTGTTGAGGACTCGCCATGTAATTTGGCTGGAACGTATCTCTTTCCAGGTGACAAACCTGCATCCAGTGGGAGGGTTGAAATACGGCTGACAGCTGTATTCAACAAGGTGATGTGCTGTCATTTTCAAAACCAGGTGTCAAATTGCACGTCTTGTCTTTTCACACGTGCTCGCCGAGCTCAGGAAGCCACGCACGTGAAACTTATTTGGGGAGGTTGTGTTCATTCTACGAAAGTACAGTGCTTGGTAAATGTATTAGGAATTAATCAATTATTCCGATCGAAATGAAGGGCTGTGGCTGGTTAAACAGATGTTTCGTAAAATTGTGCAGTGATGTATACATTAAAAAAACATATTCTTATTTTGCTCATAAGTCAGCAACTCCGCGATAACAGCCATACATTTTTGCAAACAGTGATGTTGAACGCAAGGCGTTCTGTTTGTTTGTATAGACTAAAAGTTGGAAACAACTTAGATGTTAGGATGTAACTTAATTAGTTATTGCTAATTTAATGTATTGTCAAAGGCTTTCATGGCCGGAATCACTGGGCTGTTGTGAGTTTTCCAAACTGTATGGCCATGTTCCAGAAGCATTCTCTCCTGACGTGTCACCTGCATCTATGGCAGGCATCCTCAGAGGTTGAGGGATCTGTTGGAAAGTGAGGTTTATATATCTATGGAATGTCCAGGGTGGAGGAAAGAACTCTTGTCTGCTTGAGGCAAGTGTGAATGTTGCAATTGGCCAACCTGATTAGCATTTAATGGCTTGCAGTTTCAAGGCCTGGCTGGTTGCTGCCTGAGGGAATCCTTTGTTGGAAGATGTTAGCTGGCCCTGATTGATTCTTGTTTGGAATTCTTGTCTGGTTGTGAGGTCCTCTGAGGATGCCTGCCATAGAGGCAGGTGAAACGTCAGGAGAGAATGCTTCTGGAAAATGGCCATACAGCCTGGAAAACTTGCAACAACTCATTGCTAATTTAGTATGTCATGCAGTTTGTGGAGGAGCGACTGTGAACCAGAGAGGGACTGTATGTGCGCAAACGTGTATGTGGTACGTGTTCGTGTGCATGTGTTGAGGCCAAGCAGAATGCAGCCACAGGAAGCCTGATTTGTTATTGTTTACCTTGTTTACCTGTTTCGTATTAATTATTTGGTGTATTCGTTATGCACTTTTGACATTGAAGGCTGCCATTTTTTGTTGTGAGCCGCCCTGAGTCCCCAAAGGGGAGATGGGACGGGATGCAAATAAAGTTTTGTTGTTGTTGTTGAGAGATGTGTTAATGAGGTTAATGCTGGTGTTCTGCTAATGTCTGCTTGCCCATTTCCATGTCTTTCTGGCTGTAGAGCAGGAGTCCTCAAACTTTTTAAACAGAGGGCCAGGTCACAGTCCCTCAAATTGTTGGAGAGCCGGATTATAATTTGAAAAAAACATGAATGAATTCCTATGCACACTGCACTTATCATATTTGTAGTGCAAAAAACACTTAAAAACAATACAATAATTAAAATAAAGAACAATTTTAACAGATATAAGTTTATAAGTATTTCAATGGGAAGTGTGGGCCTGCTTTTGACTGATGAGATAGGATTGTTGTTGTTTGTTGTGTGCTTTCAAGTCATTTCAGACTTAGGTTGACCCTGAGCGAGGGCCAGGTAAATGACCTTGGAGGGCCGTATCTGGCCCACGGGCCTTAGTTTGAGGACCCCTGCTGTAGAGAGTATGAAGACTACAAGCTGAATATGTGTTGTTTTCTGTTGTGTGGAAGTAACTTCTAGGAGATCACCTGCTCTTGTTTATGTCTGGATTGTTCTGAAAAGAGCAGGCTCTCATAATATTCACGAGACCGATCAATTATATGTTGATTGCTGCTACTTATTTCTAACTCTATCATACCACTTACTTATTTAAATTTTGTATCCCGAGGAATCCTGAAGGCATCTACCATTGTTTTTATTACTTGTGCTTTTCATAATTCTTGGAGAACAATCCCTAGTCCTTGGGCGTAACAAGTGCAAGCAGAGTTCTTGTTCAAGGTTTTTGAATAAATCCATGGTTTAGCTTGTTATTTGAGCCCTGGGTTTACTTGAGTTCATGCTAAACAAGTCATTCATTGCCTTTTACTTATAGCAGTGTTTATCAACCTCCCTAATGCCGCAACCCCTTAATACAGTTCCTCATGTTGTGGTGACCCCCAACCGTAAAATTATTTTC